AAAAAAAAAACTCCACCAAACAGGCTTCCCTCCGCCGGTCCTCGGTTCCCTCCACTCCAACGCGTTCGCGTAATTGTACTTTTTCCATTAGGGCTTCCGATTTTTGCTTCAATTGAAAATCCGAAGTCCCAAATTCCAACTTTCCTAACAAGTACATGCTAATCTATTTCAAATAAGAAGATTAGGGTTCAGTTTTCAAGCCACCTGCCGGAGGTTGCGTCAAATTTTCTCTTCCGATTATAGCATGGATCCACGATATACTGGGGAGACACTCAAGTACTGTTTCTTTTAACTTATCTGCATTTTCTTCTACTTTTTTGCCCTTTTCATGGATTGTTCTGGAATTGAATTTAGTTGTGATACAATCTTTCTTTCTTTGTTTCTGTGTATGTGCAGACACTTGGAGAAGCAGAATGAGTTGCTTACGGAAGCCCATAGATCAATGTCTCGTGAATTGCATAAGCTTCAGGTTGTTCTCTAATCCCTTATAAGGGTTTATGGTTTTTTTTTTTTTTTTTTTTCTTTCAGATGAAAAACTCAAGATGACTTAGATTAAATGAAAGTATGTTAAAAAAATGGAAAAGGGTAGATTAAAATTGATGAAAATTGTTTGAATTGCAGTTTGTTAAGTTTGTTAAATATGTTTTTAGTAGCTAAAATGTTGATGTTTAGTTGTGCTATGTGGGTCATGCCCAAAAATTGGGTACTGCAATTGCCAATTTATTTGGTTCACTGTGGTAGTAAAGTTGAATAAATATCAAAGGCGAGGATAATGAATGAATTTGGTAAAACTGTTACAACATGAAGTGGGAGGCTGGCATCGATAAGAATGATTGAAGTGCGTTCTCCTTTGGTTGTCTAATATTCATATTATGCATGAAGGTTGAAGAAGAGATGCTAATGCGCAAATATTACGAGCTTATGACTGCCCATGGTCTTACTCACAAGGTATGCTTTTTCCATTGTTTGTCTGATATTCTTTGGTTGTGCATGCAATAACTTGCATTGCTGACACCATGATTGAGACTTGGTTTTTTTTTCTTTTTGGGATGAAAGCAATTACACTTTTGAATGTAATTTTCATCTGCCTCCCCCACCTTTTGATCTTAAGAATGTGGCAGATTCAATGGATTTCCTTTGATTTGTCCTGAGAAGTTGATTTTAATGGTTCTGTAAAGCTATCAAAATTGGCTGTAGGTTGGTTTGGTTGAATGAGTTTAGTTTAGCTTTTCTTTTCTTTTCTTTTTTTCCTTTTCCTTTTTCCTGTGTTTAAATCAATTAAGAATCATTTGAGGCACCCTCAATTGAAATGAGCTATATCGATGAATAGCCAAGTATGATTTTAATTAGCACCTTTGTTTCAAACTTCTCATAGCATTTCATGTCAGAGGTTGATTTCACCTTTATTTTTCATTTGCATGCCTTAAGATATTATGGTATTTTCTATCTCTTGTTTAAGACTCAAACATTCTTCTGCCTGTGATAGTCAAGGATGTAAAAATTAAAAGTACAGTACTGATAAGTGAAGGCTATCTTACAGGAGTATAGGTTTTTTTCATTTTAGGTTATATAAACTTCACTGTTTAATTTCATTAAATTTGTCTCTATTTTCTTGAGCTTAGTGTAAACTGAGATCATGAGGTGAGAAACAGAAAGTAAGGTGAGGAAGGGGGGTGCAGGTGGTAAGGCTAATAGGAGCCTACAGGTTCTAATTTATTGCAAGTTGGATTTGGCATATGCATATTTAAGAGTTAATGAATGAGTTATGAAGTTTTTTTGTTGGCGTTGAATTGTTAACCATGCAGTCTTCCTAACTGAATTATTGTTAACCATAGTTCTCTTTCTATTAAAACATCTTTAAATTAAGTACTGAAATTTATAATTAATGTGACACTTGGTAGTGCAAAACTTGGTGGTTAGATTGCGTTGATATGGTACCTCATTTTAGTTCTCTTTGTTCTATTTGTAACGTATTGCTTTCCTTTTCCAGAATGAACTCAGCAATAAACTTTCAGATGATGGAGAAACCAGATGCTCTGCTGCTTTAGCGAAACCAATTGAAAGCGAAAAATAGTGAGGGATTCAAGAAGTTTGGATAAGCATCTCAAACCTTTTAATTATTAATCTGTCAAATCATCTCTCCCCAAATTTAGCATGTAATTAATTGTTTGTGAGCTGGTAAATTCAGTGTTCAATGGAAATTTTTTGTTTTTCAATTAATTGGAACAGAAATAATTCCTTGAGGATGAAATGCAGTTGTTTGAATCTGTTGTTTCTTCCTCTTATAGGTGAAATTTTGAACATTTTAGCTCATGTCTTGGTACCTTCTGGGATTTCAATGTTTTCCTTTATGAGTTTATTCAACAAACGAGGTGGATAATTTGGTGACATCTAAGTCCATCTCCTCTAATTTTTGTTCAAAAGAAATGTCTGTCCATGGTTGTGCAGTCTATGTTATCATTTGACTTTAGGGACCTGGTACTTGTTATCACTTACAAGGTTGGTCTCTGGCCACAATCCAGATAAGGTTGCCTTCTAATTTTTCCCTTACTCCAATTTATAGGCATAGACCATTTCAATTCTTCGCCAATATGCTTGTTGATTTGGCGAAATGTTCCATTCTTCTTGATTTGGCAAGACATTAGTTCATGATAAAGAATATCATTATGGGGCAGAAAGTTTGGCTAGATTTTTCAAATTGAGAGTTGAACAGCCCCCTGGAAGAATTCAATTGTTCTTCCTTTTTTTTTTTTTGCCAAAAAATTTCATCTTTATTTTTTTCTTTTCAAAAAATTTCAGAATTCACATCCAATGTGTCCGTTCAGGGACATCTAAGTCCCACAAGTTTGTGAATTAATGTGTTGATCTCTCATGTGCTATAAATTCCAAAGGTAATTGACAACGTTATAGTTTCTAGAAATTACTAAAGTGAAACGTTAAATTTAATAAACATTTGTCTAACTTTTATCTTTAGGGTACAAGTTAAAGGTGTAATAAATGTATTTTTTTATAATTAATTCACATTAAAAAATATAAAAGTTAACATATATTTTAATATTACTTATACATAAATAATTTTAACTAATTAATTGATTAAATTAAAGTTAATATTTATACTTCTAATAAAAATTAATTATGAAGAACTGCATTTAGAAAAATCCTTTAACAAAGGGTTTCAAATTAAAATGGCGCAGCGGAAGCGTGATGGGCCCATAATCCACAGGTCCAGATTCAAACCTGGCTCTGATAAGCAGTGGCCTTAGTAAATTATTATTTTTTTATCCGCTAAAGAAATTATTGTTAAATGAAGCAAATGAACCAACAAATCAGAGTGGCGCAGCGGAAGCGTGGTGGGCCCATAACCCACAGGTCCCAGGATCGAAACCTGGCTCTGATAGAGAGTGGCTTCCGATTATTTTTACAAACACTTTTTCCTCCAAGGAAACAAAATCAACAAATCAGACTGCCAATGATTAATATTTTGAATTCTTGATGACAAACACATACAAGTGCTTAAATGAAATAACACTACCATTCAATCCATTTTTTGGGGCTGAGAACTTTTATTCTAGGCATCGTGGATTCAGAAGCTTCAAGAAAAACTCTTCTCCTTGGTTTACAATTTGTTCCATTGAAATGAGCGTAGATAGAGATAAACAGAAATAATTCTTTGTGAAATCCGGTTCAAAATTAAAATAAATACTAGCAAAGAGATGAAGGAAGAGCAAAAGCTACTGAACTAAAGCAAAAGGAGTTTGATATGTATCTCTGCATACAAGGCAAAAGCCATTCCCCCTTTTCTCTTATAGAATACATGTTCATCACTACAGTAGCCGTGGGGAAGTTTCCAATCCTAATTCCTAAATGCAAATATGCAATCTACCACTACATTGATTTACTTCAAAAGTAGTCACTGATTCACTGGGATAAAAGTGAAAGCTGGCAAATTCAAATCGCAATGAGAGCCCACAAATCCTACTTTCCAGCGGAGAAAAGGCAACCCATTTTCAATTTCATTGATTCACTTCAGTACCTTCAGCTGAGCACAAACCGACAGTGCAAAAAACCTAAAAAAGCAATTAAACATTGAATCAAAACATTCAATTTTATAATACAAAAAAAAAAAAATTTTAAATCAAGGACAAATAAAATTCTTAAGAGGTTGAACCAAGCAAAGAGAGAATGGGGAAAAAAAAATGAAAAGGTTGGTAGCGATTTACTTGGGTCAGCATTGATGATCATAGCAGTGCCTCCAAAGCTGCAAGTTCCTCCATTTCTCTTGGTGTTCTGCCAATAGCTATTGAAAGCATAAGACGCATGAGCAACAATGGTATCAGGGTAAAAACAGTTCCCATTTGGCATAATCTCTGCACAATCGGCACCACCCTCACCACAGGCATAGTCCATTGCTTCTTGTAGAGTCTCTTCAGGGACACTAGGCTTAGCCACACACCACAGCTTCTGCACCATCCCCATCTCCGGGGCCGGGGGCATGCTATTAACTGGATTACAAGGTGGCAAAGAAAACCCAAAAGGTGGACTTGCTGGTACAAAGCCCGGAGGCAGCCCTGGTGCCGTGGGGAAGGACAGTGGCGGTGGGGAAGAAACAGGGAGGGAAAGGGGAGGTGGTGAAGTGGTGTGATGGTGTGAGGGATGAGGGGTTTGGGCTACATTGGCTGGCACGGAGAACCCAATGGAGGAATGAAGGGAGGAAGGAGAGATTTCGGGTAATGGGGTTGGCCTTGCTGGGTATGGGTCTATAACCTTGGATTCCATGACAAAGAGCTTCCTACTCAACCTTCTTTTCTCATCTCGACTAGAGACTATCACATTGATCTTCTCAAACTCAAAAGATCCAAACTTTCTCATGAAATCTCGGTGGGAAACCAGAAAACTCGAAGTTTCTTCGGTTGAAGAAGAAAGATGTGGAGGAAGACGAACGGAGTAAGAAGAGTTTGTAGCTCCCAGGAATTCCAACAGGGGTCTAATGATTTTCTCACCCAAATCATCCCTTAAACAGTGTGAACTCAAAGCAGCAGTGATTTTGATGTCTTTCTCCAAACCCCATCTCTTAAGAGAGTGATAAACGTTCTTCAAAGACGATAAAACAAGACCCAAGTTGTGTTCTTGGTCGTTTTGGCAGAGCAGGGCACTTTCCCCCACAAGAATGGTGGTGATTTTGGTAGACGGAAAGTGACCCAGAACATGGTTTCTCAGCCAACTCTCCGCCTTCAAAATGCTGGTTGAGACCTCACCGAGGTCATGTACACTCACCGGAACTGCCACAGGAAGACCACCATGAGGTGATGCTTGAAGGGCCTCCTGAGTAGTGTCATGAAGGTTAAGGTACTCAAAGGATTCTTGACCTGCACCTGCACACAAACAAACGTCCAAAATGAGAAAGAAGATGAAGAAACCCACAACAAAATGTTAAAAAAGAGACATTTTTCACAGAGTAAAGTTCGAAAACTTACCAGTAAGACCCAGAAAGCAGAGGAAGAGGATGTGAAAGAAACAGAACATCTTCAACATTGTGGAGAACAGAGGAACTGAACATGTAAATAGAGATGAACTGTTGTGGGGAGAAGTGCGTGGGACTGTGTTTAACACTTGACACCCACTCTAAGAAAGGTGGGATTTTGATCTTTCAGAGGGATAAATATGCGGTAAAAAACTTACTTTTTAGATTTTCGAAAGGTTTTAATATCTTATTTTATAGTATAATATTTAAAATTTTTCATTTTATTAGATTTATATATTTTAATTATATATTTATTAAATTTAAAAATAATAATTTTTATTTTATATTAATTATTAATTTTATTAATTGAAAATAAATTTTTATTAATTAATAATTAATTAATAAAATTAACCATTAATTAATAAAATTAATAAAATATTAAAAATTTTATTTTTTAAATTTTAATAAATAATAAATTAAAATTATTATAATAAAATAATAAATTAAATTTATAAATTTAATAAAATTAAAAATTAAAAATATTTTAATATAAAATAAAAAATTAAAACCTTAAAAAAAAATAAAAATGATAGACTCAAGTACGTTTTTTCCTAAACAAGCGGTCAGAGTAAAACAGCGGGTTGTTGAATATTGCAATAAAATATGTCAAAACGCTTGTATTGTGGGTTGTACGGTTTTGAAGTGAAAACCAGTCATCTTCGGCTCTCTGTCCAACGGTAGGGTACAAGGCCTAAAGGGCTGTAAAAGAGCTGTAAAAATAGAATTCTGCTTTTAAATATAACATTGACTGCAAAACATACCGTTCTTAAAAACATGATGTTTGCCAATGAAGAACAATTATACCATATAAATTGTGCACGACACAGAGATTTGCACAAAAGTATAATACAAACTTTAAGAGAAATCTTAAAAAAATCCTTCTTATAAAGGCTCACACTGAGCCAAAAACATCAGACTTTTAAAGGTAATTATAAATTTTATTGATAACTAAATAAGTGCATTAATGGCTAACAATATAAGTAAATAGTACTAATTTTTTTTTCATAAAAGTAAAAAGGGTTTGAGTTTGAGTGAGATATGTTTAAATATGAAAAAGATTTGTCTCTTATTATAAGTTAGGATTTTTTTTTTTTTTTTTGAACTTTAGAAATTGGAGAAAGGGAAAGGGAAATAGGGAATGAGGAGGTATTGAACCCTAATTATGTGGGTGAAACATTTATATGCCGGCCATGCGGGTCACTATCAAGGTTCTACTATAAGTTAAGATTAAAAGAATAATAAGTATATCAAAATAATCAATAGTGTTTTTAAAAAGAAAATCATAGTTTATAATTCAGACTTTAAAACAAAAATTATTAAATAGAAAAAAAGTTTCAATATCTAAAAATCAATCCCACATTTGATAATTAATGTAATATAGTTTAGTGCAATTTGAAGTATGTTATACTTTTTTTATATAAAAATAAAATTAAATAAATTTTGATGAAATTAACCCTGTGGAATATGAAATGGTAGAACTTTTCTGATTAGTGAAAAAAAAATGGTAAAACTTGGGGAGAAAGACATGAAAAAGGGGTTAAGTGGGGCAGAGTGGGGGAGTATTGGGGGGCGTGGGACAAAGAACAAAATCGGAGGGGAATCGGTGTAGGAGGTGAGTAGTTTGAACTTTGAAGCGTCCAATGTCTTGTCTCTCTCTTTCTGTTATGGAATCGAGGGGATCACGAGAAACTCATACAAGCCACTTGCACAAGGTGGCTCGTGCGGTTCTGCCTCGTTGGAACAATTTTTTCACTTTCTCGCTAAACTAGAATACTTGATCTGATCATCCCAGTTTTCCGTATTTTTCAACTCTTCGTCAAACTTTTTAATTGTCTCAAAGGAGTCCCAAACTAACTTGTGTATCCTCACTAACTCATTTTTGCATCCATACAATTCCATCATCAGCTTTGAGGAAGACGAAGATCCCATGTGAATTTACATGGCTCTAGGCTAGTCTTGTGAGAAGAAAGGTTGCCTTTGATGTAACTATTAGGAATAGTTGATAGTTGTAGTGTTAGTTGTTAGTCAATAGTTAATAGTTGATATATAGTTTAAAATTAGTTTATAAAAATGTCTTTCATAACACTATAACTAGCTGTTTAAAAGGAAAAAAATTATGAAGGTTGTTTGAATTACCTTTTTAGATATAATTGATAGTAGATAATTGTTGTTGTTTATAATCTAAAGTATTTAATCCATTTGATTAAGGTCAATAATTAATAGCTACTTGCAAACTCTCAACCCAAACACCCCCATAAAATGATAATATTAGTCAAACCAAACACATTCAAATAAGGCATTGTTTAAAAGACATCTCTTCTCTCAAGCAGATGGGAAGAAGTTAAAATTGTATTTACCAAAAAGAAGAAGAAGAACTGTGGGCCAATGGGCTTCAGCCCCATTGCAAACCAAAAACAGAATTATGGACCAGATCCTTAATGCCCATTGCCTAACCTCTCTCACAAAAGAATAAAAAAAAAAAAAAAAAAAGAGCCGGCTGGATGTTCAGCCTTAACTTTGTGAAGGAGCCCAACCCATTACTTATAGAAAAAATGTTTATGGACAAATTTTTTTATATATATATTTTTGTACATTTTTATATATAATTTAAATGATTAATTCTTTTTATTTTTTTGACACTCATAATATTAAATACATCAATTCATTTAATGACATATGAAA